GGTGAGCTGGAGCCTATACAAGTTCACTTTGCGGCGAGAGGCACGGCACACAATGGACTGGTTGCCAACTCATGACAGGCCACATTAGACAAACGACATTTTGGCTCAAAGAGAATTACACAGGTTAGAACATCGACATGGCAGTGGTTCCTCTGTGACATAAACAGAAAAAAAGACCCGATCCTCTGCCTTATTGCTGCTTACTGGCTACACTTCTAATGTTCTTACAATTAAAAATGGACATTGGAAGACTCTTAATCTGAAACGTAAACCATATGTCAGTATTAATAATTGACAAGTATGAGTCACGCCTTTGTGGAATGTTTGGCTTTGTTGTGCCCCCCAAAAAAAGACCATTATTCTTGACATTATTGGATTTCCGTTCATGCGACCTGATGAATTAGATGTTGTAACGAAGCTTATATTGGAAAACCTGTCTTTCCTATCAGATTTTCATTTCCTCTCCAGTGTTTTAGGGATTCTGTTTACCTGTAAAGTAGCTTATAGGTGTCACATTTCTGTTTCAGCCCCCATCTCAGGTAAACGCTCCAGCCATTGCCCTTTGTGTCACACCAACTTTTCACCGGGAGAAGAGGTAAGATTCTGCATGAGTATGTCTTCTAAACCAAGTGAGATGCCAACATCCCTTAAAACTTTGGCGGGGTTCTTTAAAGTTTGGGTGTTTAGATTTTAAGAGTGATGGGAAGGACTTAGCTCGGTCACCCGTGAACTTGGTTTGATGCAAATGTAAACAAAATGAATATTAGCAAGGGCCTCCTACACTAAGACCAACAACGTTTCACAAAACGAGGGCTTAGAATTCACACCGTTGGCATTTCCGCTCCACCATCAAACGTGAACTAGTGATTGTCAAAGTAAAAGATCAAACAGGAAGTAAAACACTGCCATTGCTGACACATTTAACCGTTTCAGCCATAGTGGTTACGACAGTGGACAGCTTATCGTGTCATCGGGTTACAGGGTGCATGAAAGGGTAAAAGACTTCAAAAGAGGAGACTTCTTTGTTCCTTTGTGTACTTCTTCAGTCTTCCTCTCAAGTTGAAGTCACTGTAGTAATATATAAAAGTAATAAAAGGAGCTAAATCTCCACACCGTCTTTAAGGGTGTTCAATTAAAGGAGCGGAGATAGGAGGAAGAGGACACTTGATTTTGTACAGGTAGATTGCTTGTGCAGACAACTATGGCACAAATGATTGACGGTTAAACTTGGGAAATACCTAATTGTAAATCAAGACCCTAAGTAGGGGTGGAGTCAATCTTTTGTCTGATCAGCGGGATTAAGTCTTGCCAGAGTGCTGAATCTTTTGCATGAATAATGACTTTTTTTTGTCTTTCCAAGTTGAAAATGTACTTTGCTGTGAGTTCACTCAAAATGAACACGACATGCCTTCTTCTCTTCACGCAAACACACCCTTCAAAGTTGCTGAGGGAGGGGGGGGGAAAGAATTATGAAAAAGTCGCACTCTGGCTGCCAGAGCCCTGAACGTATGCCATGAAAGGCCGCAGTGTTGTCGAAGGAAGGAGGGCGGCCATTCTGCCAGTGACTGGATCTACAGTTGCTCGTGACCGTCCCCGATTGAAGGCCCCCCCAGGAAAGGAACTGAACTCACTGAGCTACTTTTGTACCTGTTGCAGGCCTGGAAGACTCACCTCACGGGCAGTGAGGGCTGCAAACAAAACTCACGTAGGGCCACGGAGTCCCAGAGAACCAAGCCAGCACAAGGTGAAGCATTCATACCCACTTGTCCACACACCCACCATCACAGCAGAGCACTGCACCCTGTGAAAGCGCCTTAAAAAGTGCACGTTTTCCCAATTTGGCTTCGGCACTGAGTGATAGAATGTACCTTGCTAGCTATTAGCACGTATTGATTGAAATGCTTCAATTGTGATTGCCATTTCTCATTATGTTTTTAGAGCCGCATGAGAGGCCACAGAAATTTGAGTAATCACAGTTGTCAGTCCAGAAAAGGATACATGGCGAAGAGTTCTTGTTGTTCCACTTAACCAAAATTAACACCAGGCCATCTAGTGACTGCTCTTTTTGGGTGTTCAAAGGAATGTAAATTGATTAGGGTCCTGTCTGCGTGGTTTCTCAGGCCACGGGTGGTTTATCTTAATTGTGCTCTTTCACAAATTGCTCTGGAAATGGATCGGGTTGGATTAAATTGGGTAATCTGGGCTCATCAGTGGAAAGAGACGATGGTCAACCATGAAATTGATTTAATTCTCAGGGTGTACCTCAGGGAAAGGGGCGCAGGTAAGCCACCAGGATGACAACATAGTGAATAGTTGCGTTTTTGTGTGTATCTTAATTTTATTATTTTTTTTAACATACTTTAACCAGAATACCCCAAAATAGGAAGAATCCTCTCTTAGATGTGATATTATATTTTTTCCTTGCCCTCTTATGGGGTTTTGATCAGGGGATGTTGTTAGTATTTTTCAACTGTGGGCTTGTAAAAACCCTCTTTTGTGGTTATCGGCGTGGCAAGTATGACTTGTTGTCACCAAAACGACTTCAGGGATGTGCTAGGTAGCATAAAGCAATTTTAAAGTCTGAAATGGTGAGTGTAAACGTGTCCCCGCAAAGACTTGGTTTTTATTTTCACTCGTCGCGTCTGCACATTGTAACTGAGCTGCGGAATTACACTTGTCAATAATAAACCCAATTCCAATGACGTTGGGATGTTGCGCAGATGGTTGTAATTTTTCATATGTTGTATTCAAGTAAAGTTTTATACAGTACTGCTGTTGATGTTTATTAGTAGCCACTGAGCCGAAAGGTGTTTTTCTTCTTTGCCTTCAAAGCACAGGAACTCAGCCAATTCAAAATGACACCATTGTGTTTCTGCTCTTTTAATTGCTATGGTGGGGGGGCTTTGTTTTGGCAATAAAGAAAACACGAGACGAGGTCTTTCATCTCCATGGTGGGGCTCTCTGTTTGCGTCCAGGTAAGGCTGTCGCTAGTACAAAGGCCACGCACACCTGGTCGATGGGAACCCGAGGTAGAGCCAGGCCTTTTGGAAGAGGCAGTCGGATCCCCTCTCTGGCACCGCTGGCTCGAGGACGTACACCTGGGAAGCATTGATCGTTGACAAAGATTCTCCTCCTTGCTGTAGAGCAGGGGTGTCTAACTCATTTTTTTGTCGTGGGCCATTTCGCAGTTACGCTTTCCCTCTGAGGGCCGGTGCAAAATCTCAACGTTATTTATTACCCATGCCATTTGACATTTTGTACGGATTTTAAGCAAGAATCATGACATGATTTGCTCCCGCGGGCCACATAAAATGACGTGGGGGGCCGGATCTGGCCCCCGGGCCTTGACTTGGACACCATGCTGTAGAGGATCCAACAGTGTCATTCATGATGTTGCGGTCCTGCTTTTCACCAAAGACGCGCTTTTGGAAAAGTCCATTTAGGTTTTATGCCATATAATTTTAATGACCTACCGGTTTGTCTCATTTGACAATATCATTTAATAATGACTCACAAAATTCAGTTTCAGAACAATTACTCAATTAAAACGGAGCAGGTACAAGACAAACTTGCATTGGTGGAGAGTTGAGCAAGGTTGCACGGCTGAAGTGTGGCATATGGCTAATAGAACCAGCCGTGTCTGGCGTACACCGAGATAACCTCGGATGACATCATCAGCGGTTATTTTGTCAGACCTGACAAAGGCCTCCTACTACTCGAGACGCAGATGCTACTATACAGCTGTCAAAGATATACCGCATGACCCGGTGGCATTCCCTGCCACAAAAAGAAATCCCTCTTTCGGGAGCACAAAGTGTTGCTGTATTAAGTGAACTGTGCAAGACGAGTTGCGCCTTTTAGCAACACTTTGCATCACTGCTAACGCTTTTGGTTGGATCAATGTAGATGTTTTTGTCTTTGTCTAGGTCTGTGTGTACTCTCAGGTCCATAAATATGGAGGCATGGCTCTAACCACCATCGCAATAGATTTGGAACGAAACAAACAAGCTGTGCTTTTACTGCCGACTTTCATCTTTAATTTGAGGGTATTTACAGCGAAATCGGTCGAGCGGTGTAGGAAAATTGTATGTATCGCGAAGAGCATTTCCCTTCAGTTTCGTCTTCGGCAGGTGGAATGGATGCTTCGTCAGATTCAGGTCAGGTGATTGACTTTGCATGACATTCCACTTTGCATTCAAAAACTCTTTGGTTGCTTTTGTAATATGCTCCGGGGCATTGTCCATCTGCACTGTGGAGTGCCGCTCAATGAGTTCCGAAGCATTTGTCTGAATTTGAGTACGTCATGCATGAAACACTTCAGAATTCATCCTGCTCCTTTTGTCAGACAGGTTATATCATCAATCAATACAAAGGAACCAGTTGCGCTGGCAGCCATATGTGCCCACCTGGACATGGAAGAGCGGAGCAGCCAATTGTCCCATTACTTTTGGTCCCTTCAAAAAGTGTGAGGCATATCATAGACAAACTGTTGCCATTGCTACTCTGCTCACCTGATTTGGATGTAAATACCCTCTGATTAAAGCGGAAAGTCTGCCGTTAAGAGTTTTTCGCATTTCAAATCAATTTTCATGGTGCTTTGAGGTAAAAAGATGAATATTTTGTCCATGTACCAACATTTATGGACCTGACTGTAAGTATGTAGTAATTGTAATGTAGGTTTTATACCATGTACATCATTGTGACAATGATTTTTTTTCTGCAAAGGTATCAGTGTTTAATTAAATAAACATGAATTTATAACACCGGTTTGGATAGATTTGTTGACTGTGGCGTTATTCCCAAACAGCCTGTCTCTGTTCATGAATCAAGACAAGTCACTTTTAACAGGGGTGAACAGACCTTTAATTTTTATTTACTTTGTAAAATAAAACAAAAAACGAATTTCAGACATTTTGGTTTCCTTTTACCCTGATTTTGTTGACTGCACAATGAAACTCTTGCAAAATTTTAAGGCACAACAGCCACTCAACTTTTTGGTTTCGTTCTTGATCTGTGAGGCTCAAACTTGAAATGGCACTGAGAATTGGACGGTAGAGTTGTGTCGTAGTGGTTTCCCAAACGTAAAAAAGACTCCAAACTGTGGACAGATTCACTGTGGAGCAAACAAACAAGTCTGATGTTGCTTCATAATCAACTCAACTGTATTTATAGAGCACTTTCAAACAGCCATCGCTGCATACAAAGTGCTGTACATGGAACAACTAACATATACAACAGGAAAGCAACAAATTGGTAACAAAGACGGTAGAAAGCACCAAACGGCAAAACCAAGAACAAATCTGAATCATGCTGAACATCAAATGCTCTGCTTTCATACATAGATTCTTGCATTGTCATGTCAAAAAGAGGCCGCCTGTGCACAAACCAGTTCTTCATTGTGCACCAGGCTCCACATCTTGAGGAGCTCCTGGGCGCTTAGTTTGTGCACCAGAATGAGGTTCTTGTAAAAGCACGGTTCGCTGTTCATGGGGCTCGCCCGGCGCATGGTAATGCCGAAGGTCCTGAAGCCGGAGTGCATCTCTGGGCTCAGCTGGAGCCTCTGCAGACACATGCCCAAAAAGACATCATCAATAGGGTACAGTTCCAGATCCTCTGAGACCACAAAGAGCCTCCTGGCCAGCTGGGAGGACATGAGGAACCCCCCTCCTCCCACATAAGGAGGGTATGGCTTATCAAAGAGCTCCCTGGGAATGTAGTATTTACTCTGTTTATTCCGGATGGGAAAGCTCCTGTACATGGTGTGCCCCACAAACAGGGTGGTCTCCTTGTGCTCCTCCACCTTGAAGCCGATGAGGTCCAGTAGGTTGTTGGTGTTCACAAACACGTCGTCATCCCCTTTGAATATAAACTGCACACCCGGGCAGTAGATGTCGAACCATTTGAGAAAGTTGACCTCTTTCAGGGTCAAGTTCAAAAAGGTGTCCATGAAATCCCACTGCAGGATGTCCTCGTAGATTTGGTCCTCATACTCGATCAGCTTTTGTAGGTTCTTGGTGTCTTTGCCAACGGAAGGACTGCCCAAAAGAAAAAGGGTCTTGATGCTCTTCCCTTCCGCTGTGTACTCCCTGCCCCAGGTTTTGCGCACCGCCTCGCGGCGATCGTGCTGCTCGATGATGGACTTGACCACTATGAGGAGGTGCACCTCTCCTACCGTGGCTGCGCACTTCTCAGGGTGGTTGATGAGCATCGGGAAGTACCTGCAGTGCCGATGCAGTACGAACTGGTGAAACCTTGGGTCTAACCTCCGGAACCAGTCTGTTGTCCTGACCGCGGCGTCCTCGCTGCAGTTAAGCACCTGCACGTCCCAGAAAGGAGCGCTGCGATTGGAGTGCGCCCCTGGCGCGCTGGGAACCGTCACATGGTTATGACTCGCCAAAGTAGGCTTGCTGCCTTTCTTCCACCCAGAACACCCCTCGCAAGAGCCGGGGTGCCGCGTGTAGGAACCCGTGGTGTCCTCGGGGAATTTGAGCTTGTGGAACAGGAGGAGAGAGGCGAAGAACAGAGAGAGGCTCAGAACGGGCTTCAGCAGACCGCTCCGCTTTCTTCGGAAAAGCAGCTTCATGATGTTCATCCCAGTGGTCCACGGATCGCCAACGCTTCACCTTGGACCACCATCGTGATGCCTTCTCAACTGTGGGTCTCTCGTCTCCAGCACTCCCTCTCGTGTTATCCCCCACGACCCCTGTGCAGCCGGATAACAGGATGCGCTGTCACCGAGGTGGTCCCGGGGCTTTCTTTGGCCATGGTGGCGTTGAACTGGAGACGCTGCGGGGCAATCGAGAGTGGGGAAATGCTGTGGGCCCCGTCACATGGGCCCCGAACGTCTGTACTCGGGCCTGCGAACACAAGCACGCAAACATATGGACCCACCCCCGTTCTACTCACTCCCCTCCTCCTCCCAAATATATCCTCCCCTTCGTCACCATTATTTTTTGGTAACAGGTGTCAACGACAAGTTTATTGTGCGTCTTGAAAGAAACCTACAAAAAAGTACACACTTGGTATTGGGCTTATTTTGGATTCAACGGGGCCTAGTTAGCAGACATTCTGACATTTCCCCTTGCCATTAACTTACAAAACAGTTGACTTAAACCTTTGGCAGTGACACTTTTGCCACTTTGCACATGTAGTGCCTTTATTACTGTAGCCTTTTCATCGTTGTATCTCTGTCATTCCGCATTACTTGCACAAATAAATTGAATATTCTATTTCTGATGATTGATAGTAAAGCGCATTTCCCATTTTTCACAGTTGAATTGGCTCGATCTCGTGCAGGACTGTTAACAACTACGTGGGCGTTTAGTTGTTAGAAATAAAAATAAAAAAAATGAGAGAGAGAGTAATATTTTATTGTTTATAATACATTACTCATAGAAATACATCCCACATAAGCGCTTTATCAGCTCTCAATCATCAAAGGTCAGAGTAAGAGCCATTGAGCTAATTTTAGAATAGCTCTGGTGTACTCTAGCGGACATAATAGAAAATTACAACAACTTGGACTTTACTTGGACGCCATTAGTGGGGTCCAAATGCGATCCATCCGTCCATTTTCTAATCTGTTTATCCTCACGAGGGTCGCGGGCGTATTGGAGCCTATCCCAGCTGTCTTGAGGCAGTAGGTGGGGGATACCCTGAACTGCCCCCACCCCAATCTTTTTTCATATTGTGTACAGTATTTTAACCATTTTCCGAGAGTTCTCAGCATCCTCACCCCGCCCGCCGTACGTGGAAAAAATGTACATTGAACATTTAGCAGTGTTTTCGGAAACTTTTTTGGGGTTGAAACAAAAAGATTTTTGGGGGAACTTTAATCAAGGGGCCGCTCAGAGTGTGGGTTACCCTGTTGCCCATTACTGCTCCAAGAAGATTCGCGTTCATTTCTGGAATTTACGTAACACGTCGGCGTCTGACGTCAGCGTCTGACGTCACACCCTGAACGTGAACTTCAGCTGCAGGAAATACGCTGGCCGAGGCGTTGCCTAGGCTGTGCAAAGACAACTACAAGAGACAGCCCCCCCGCCCCGCACCCCCAAAATAAAAACACCAACAAGAACACTGTCACATCGGGAAGACATTCGCGGTCGGATGTAAAGTCAAAATCGTAACCAGTTAAGAGAGAAGAAGTCGTTCGAATTGACGAGGCACCCAAGGTAAGTGTCAACAGTTTCGTTCAGTAGCGTTAGCATGCAGTCTACGCTGTTGGTCTTCTGGAATTCAGCACAGTTGAACGGCCCCAAGCTGGTACGTTTTTAGCCTTGAGCTAATTTCGTGACATAGAGTTGACATGGAGGGTGTTTAACCAATGGTCATGGGGGCTACTTTCTGGACTTCACACTGGTGCTAATATCAAAGCGTCCAAATGCGACTATCATTTCCGATGTTCTTGACGGAGTGGAAAAATACACGACTAGCCTGACACTAGACCACATTGGTCACGTGACCAACGTTGATTTAAAAAAAAAAATGGGCAAGGCATGAGATACAAAGATTAGTCAGGTCGTAGTCAGGTCTGTAACAGGATTGTGCATTGCATTGATAAAACGTTAATGAGGAAAGCTAATTAGCAGATTTTCATCTCCAAACGTATGTTTTTTTCCTTGCAGATGTCAGGTCAACTTAACGACTTGAAGCGCCGAAAGACGAAGAATATCTCTGAAGCCACACACACTCAAAAGGTTGGTTTACTAGATACAGTAGCACTTAAGGTCCATGTGGGCTCTGCAGTCCTCAACAGAACAGTTGGAGGGGTCTTATAACAAACGACTGTCAGAATGAGGTCTTCATACCTGTTTCAAAGGCCACTGTCCTGCCTATCTCTCCTTGCTCGGGTGTAGCCAGTGAAATTGAACTCAGTTTTCGCAAAACCGTCGTTTGTTACAGTTTGTGATTTAAAAGGGGGTGGCAAATACTTTTTACACAGGGTCAGGTAGTTGCCTTAATAAATTAAATTGGCCTGAAACCTTTGTGTGTGATAAAAATTGCCAAGAACACAGAAATCAGGAAGAGGGCAAACATGTTTTCACAGCACTGTATGTTGTTCACAATGACGTTTGGCTGACACGAATAACACTGAATATTGAGCCACTTATTACTTGCTAATGCACGCACACATTGTGAATCCAGTCAATTCGGTACTCAATCATATTATCTTCCCCTTCGTCTCACCGATTCGTGAGGGAGTTAAACGTAGGTGGCCAAAACATGCCTAATTCAAATTAAACTGCACTATTACACTAACCACCAGAGGCGGCTGGAACATCACAAATGGAAAATAACCTGGCCTATTTCATAGCTTTTAATATCGCGACATGACGATGTACGATATCATGGCAACTTGGATATCACGATATTGCCTTTACTTTTATATCCCTTCAAATCGCAGTCTTTGCATTTCAAAAATTATGCTACATAGCGATGTTGGTTGGAATTAGATTAATCATTCATCTCTACTTTCAGGTCATACCTTATGGGACATTTCTCAGCAATCTTAAATACAACAGCCGTGAAAAAAAAAAAACAAAAAAAAAAAACACAGTGACAGCTGACTGCTGACCGGATCTTTTATCTGTGTCACAGGGTTCTGTCACAAGGAGGAAATGTGTAAAAAGTCAGAAGACACACTCTGCAGCAGAGAGCACGTCAACAGGTGGCGCGAACAGCAAAGTGACCAGTAACGCAGAGAGACTGTCCCGTATCAGCTGCGAGTGTGTCCAGCTCGCAGGCAGGCGGCGATGCTCAGCATCTCCTCTGCTGGACGGACAGGAGGGAAAAGAGAACGGGCTCAGATCGGCTCTTTTGCTGGACACCTGCGTGTGGTATGATGTACAAGACAGGCCTGCACCTGAGGACATGGATTCTGAAGAAACGGACAAAAATATCTTTCCCGATGATGACAGCAACCAAATTCTTCCTGTAGAACAGTTCTTTGGGAATCTGGATACCGCACAGGTAAGCCATTGATGTGCTTTATCTATCCCTTCGATTAGATATTGCCTCAATCAAAAAGTCTTTCACCCGGCAGGATTTTCCTCAGAGAATATCAGCGACTTCTTCCCGTCACCAGAGGCAGCACAGACGGCGGCACTACTTTGCTCGGGAGGACAGCGATGAGGCTGACGAGGAGGCAGGCCGTGAATTGACGCCGAAAGAGTACAGTGGCGGCACTTTGTGAAGAGACACTTCCCTAATTGACTTTTCAGCACTAAGCATAAGCAGCCGAAAGAAATGTATTTCGTCCACTCAGCTGTCACAAGCGGCAAGGTAATTTGTGCTGTTTTTGGGTACTGCAGTTGACATTTGAAGAAAACGTCCCACTTTGACACCCAAGTATGGTGAGGTAGGCTTTCAATTTGTGGTTGTTGAACAGGTTGATCGGCGAACCAACCTCAAGACCATCACTTATCATTATTATGTAAACCTGATGTGCTGGAGGAAAAAAAACCCTGTGTAATAATCACTTTTGGAGGAGAGTCAATTGTTTGTGCAAAGTTGCTATTCATGGTCAGTCTTGATCTCGATTTCCCACGAATAGTGAAGGGTCCATTCTATGGTTAAATTAATACCTCTCATCGCGTCAATCAAAAACAAACATGATTGTTTTGATAAGGGATGCACGCTAACCGTTTTGTTTCCCCACTAATATGGTAACTGCTAACTTCCAGCTTCTCCAAGCGGATACGAAAACCAATTTGTATAAGATGTATTTTTTTGCATCCTACAAATACAGTGCTCATAAGTTTACAGACCACAAGGGTATGTAAACTTCGGGTAATAACTGTCCATCCGCTGTTGCGGTTTAAAAGAAGAGAACATTTAGCTTTAATGTAGTGCTGGGTTGAAGTATCATCCCTTAGCGTCCATTCACTTATTTTGCTAATCCTATCTTTCCCCTCCAGAACGTCCACAAGGCAGCACATGATTGAATGTTGACATTATAGTCATTCAGGTTTTTGGAACATAAAAATGCATTTTAATTGCAGTCGGTTCATGACATACTGAAGGTGCTATTTTTCTTTTTTTTTAAAGAAGTTGCCATGCCAAGTAACAACAGACATGATAAACATTATAAATCCAGTCCGCAGTTTTCAGACGCAGCGAAATGACGTCTTTGTTTCACACAAGCGGCCAAACGGAGAAGGTTCAAGATCTAATATTGGGATGATGCAACTTGAACGCAGTACTATTTCAAGTAACCAGATCCACACCAAGAATCGAATGAAAAAGAGCATTTAATATTTGAAATTGTTTTGGATTCTCACAGCGTTCATGGAATTGCACTTGGGCAGCTTTAACACTGTACATCTGCGTATATACAGTATGTCTATATATACATCTCGATAAAATTGTTTCTTAATGTAGCTCATTATACACTGTTGTGTGTGTTGTCACATTGTCAAAAAATACACCTAAACACATAACCTTCCGATCAAGCCATCTGTGAGCTTTATAGCTGTTGCAAGACACGGTGTAGAGCAAATTAATCGGGACATCTAGATGTTTTATATATTTATACTTCATGCCTTATTCATGTTGAATGCTTTTCATATTGTACTATGCAACTTTCAGACCGAGTGATTGTTTCAAAACTCAGCAGTCCTTGTAAGCATTTAATGCAGTAAACATTGCCGTGCCAAGACTAACAACAAGTGGTGGTTTCATCTTTTCTTGCTTCGTTTGAAGAAGCGCGAAGTGATGTCTGTCAGTCCTGAAGAAAATGCGGAATGGGTGATAAAATCGGTTAAAACGGTGAGCTCATCTTTCTAAATTCATTTCAAGCGTATCTTCTTCCCCGGTTGCTGTCTTTTAAAGATCTTATTTGGGTCACACAGCAGGTTGTGGGCTCCCTTCTTGTGGCACACGACGTGGACCAGCTTCAGGTTGTCCCGCGTAAACAGCAGTCTGTAGAAGTACGTCAAATTGATGTCCTCACACGTGTGATTTTGCAGTGCTTCCAGGAGAGCAGGGATGATGGTGCGCTTCTTTTCAATCCTGGATAAAAAGTGAATAATTTTTTTCTCAATTTTTTGTTACTTACAAATACTGCAAATAAGTGTTGGGGTCAAATGAGAGACCAGAATAACGATGTAGGTTAATAAGAAAAAAAGTTATAAGAAAGTGTGAATCGTAAAACTATTTTCCGCACTACAAGGCACACTAAAAAGCATTCAATTTTCTCAAAAGCCGACAGTGGGCCTTATAATCCGATGCGCCTTATATATGGATCAACATTCAGATTTTTTTGGACGTAGTACTTTCAATATTCTGTAAAGCGCTTTGTTTCAGCTTCATCAGTTGTGAAAGCTTCATATAAATAAAGCTGTATTGTATTCCCTTTAGCGTAGCTCCATCGAGTGGATGCATAACACAGCCGCAGCCACTATTGTAGCTTCTATTCGATGCGCCTTAAAATGCGGTGCGCCCTATACAGTCAAACCTCAGTTTTCGAATGTCTCTGTTCTTGACTGAATTGGTTTTCAACCAGAAAATTCGAGATTTTTACGCCTCGGATTACGACCGAAAACCGGTTTTCGACCAAACCGAGCAAACCCGAATATCCCACTTGACTCCTCTCGGCTTCCTTACACGAGAAAGTGACGCTTCCTCGTGTAGCGTTCATTGTGAGCAGACGTGTTTGTTGTGATTTACGCAAATCAGACTATTTTTATGTTATTTCTGCATAGTGTATTAGCCCCTAATCATTGGATAATAAAATAGTTTCGGATTTCGAACAAATCGCTTTTCGAACAGCCTTCTGGAACGGATTATGGTGGAAAACCGAGGTATGACTGGATATGAAAACAGTTTTAAAATACTGTACTTTCAGAGGGCCTGTGACCCCTGCACACCTATTTATCTTGGCATTTCTTGAGATGCCTCAGTGGAAAACGTCGTAATGTTGTGAATGTCTTGTCAGCGCACTTAAAATATCAAACCTGTGGTCCAGATTCCAGGTGCTGAACACGATGCGGCTCTCTCTGCTGCCATACGGGTTGATGGAGTGAAGCGACGCACACTTGGTCTGGTCAAAAGAGCCCTGGGGGATGCAAGTGTTCAAGAGGCGCGATCAGAAATTCTGCCTTTCCAAAGAGGACAACGCCCAGTTCAGTACCTGGCAGGTGAACCAGCCTTCTCGGGTACACAGTCGGTGCGTCTCCTTTTCGGTGCGGTCAAAGTAGCAGCCGTTATATTTGTCTGACTTCAGCATCCGCGAGATGCTCTTCGACGCATGCAAACACTCGACTCGGACGTTAGCTTTCTGCGCGGATTTGGTGGCATCGTCCAACTGTTAAAAGAGACGAGAAACTCTTATTGTGAGGGCGGTAAACTTTGGGGCTGTCGCCTGCTTTGCGGCTTGACCTCTTTCATGTAGCTTCTTATCCTACTTTCACAGTTGTACTTCAAGTAGGCAGACTTGGTCTTGAAGCGAGCCTCCACGCCTGAGTGGAAAACATCATTGAGGTGACTAAAGACAATCAGATGAATGTTTGTTTTTAATGTTTTTTTTTGTTTTTTTACATTTAGGTGGTTTAACAGGGTTCCCACGGCTAAAGTCAAGTCAAATTCCAGACATTTTCATTCCATTTTACACCAACTTCACAATGTTTGCAATGTCCCGTGGTGGCCAAAATTGCTATGGTACATAACTCACAAGCCTCTGCTCTTAAGAGTCCCAAGTAAAACCACATAACTGTTTTGTTGGTTTCCGCTTTTGTAATTGCACAATGTTACTAATGGGAGTCAATCTGTATTTTGTTATTATCATTTTTTACAAGAACGTTAATTTATTTTGAAATTTAAGACTATTTGCAATCATAAAATCCTCCTTATCGTGTGTTAACATATAAGAATTTTTCAAGCATGATCGAAGTCATTTTAATGACAAGACCTTGTCTATTGTTATATTCATGAATCCAATGCGTTTAATACTTTTTTTTTTAACTATTTGAAGGAAACCTTCAAAAACATTTTATGATTTTGTTTGTAGTTGTGCTAAATATTGACTGTTAAGTCAATTATAATTATGAGTAACGGTGTGGACCCAAGAACTTTTTTTTTCCTCACCCGTGAACCAGTCTTCATCCTCATCTCTGCTCTCTAGCTCAGATCTGTCCTCCAGGTTCCGGAGAAGGTCGCTCAGGATTTTCCGTCTCTTGGGAGACTTTTCACCCGTGAGGAGGCCCTTTGCCGCTTGGACGAGGCCCGCGGTGTGCTGGTCCGAGCTCAGTAACTGGGCAATGTCACACACAGCTGATGACAAGATGTCAATGGTCACGGTTCAGAACAAATGGGGGTCTAATGAAGCCTCTGTCAAGAGAGGACACCTTACACTTACCTCCGCCCCATGTTTGATCTTTGCAGAGGAGAACGAGTTCTGTATTGTCAGGCAAAGTTGTGAAAAATTCTTTTGTCACCTTCGTCCCGTCTTCGTACAGACAAACGTGTGCACCAGAGAGTGGCAACTGCAAAAACAACACAACACAGAAATCAAAGTACGGTGTACACCTACAGGTGGTCCTCGATGAACGATCACGACATAAGAGGTTATGGACTAGTGTGGCAGTGGATCGAAGAATATGTGACAAGGCACGCTCAGTGGGCAATCTGCCACAGACTTCCTGTTAAATTGACATACGTTGGTGCCCTACTTCTGCCCCACCTCGGTGGGGAAGGTCAGTAAGCATGCTTTTACGTCAGTGTTGATCAAGCATTACATCAAGCGCTGATGCTACCTTGTTTACAATCGCATCTGAATGCATTTTGTGTTATGTACTGTTTTAAATTTTAATCTTTGTTGTATAACAGTTTCTACTATTAGGTCAGAGTGCTTCAGGTGGATGAGATACAAGAGAAACAAACCGCCAACAGTCCGAAGCATAATTATTTGCATAATTATTTGGTACTTTGTGGAAAGTACTGACAGTGACATTGGATGATGGGTATACACATACTTTGTGTTTGGTATTGTTCTTTGTGTGTCGCGCAACACAAATACAGTGCAACGTTTGCTTTTTAGGGATGAGTGAAGTAAATGCAAAATATCCCAACTTGTTGACACAACTGAGATGAGTAAACTCTCTTGCTCAAGATGCTGCTTTACCCTCCCAACGGCCACTCTGAGCACAAGCTTGGAGCCCATCATCTTTTCCTTGTGCTTACACACCTTCAACACCATCACATGGCATCGCTTGAAACACCAATCGAGATTGCCGACAAATAGGGAGACAAAAGGCAAGAGTTCCTTTGCAGAGTGGCAACAGCTCAGACTGCCTGGAGTAACATTAATAAAATTTCGAGACGTCTGACAATTAAGGGCGCCAAGTTCAGCTTTTTTTCACAACGATAACTTCCTCACTCTGAGAAGAAATTGTCTTGCTTACGATTGCCCCATGCATATTTTGTTAAAACGGTCTGATTAAAAACAAACAAACAAACAAACAAACATAAAAGTGGTACAGTTTACAACAATTTAAAACGAAACCAGAAGCAAACATCTAACCTTTAATATGTTGCAACCCTTTTTAAGCAACTCCTTCACGTCGCTTGCTGCAACTCCGTACTTCCTGTTATCTTGTAGGCTCCGGATTTTAAAAGGCCTACTTTTCCCGAAAAGCCCAAACATTTGGCTGTCTATATGCGCGTCTTTCTGGTCTGCCAGTACTGTATTCGCATTCTCGCAAACTCGTTTTCAAGCCATTCGTACACAAGTGATATTCCTAGATCCCGCCTTTACACAGACTTGTACGTCACCGCAGCCGCCATGTTGTATGTGGCAACATTTTGCTCTCAAAAGCAGATTTGCCCATTAATATTATCTGAATTTGCTTGCTTTGTGATTAATACTATGAAAGTTTTTTGAATATTGAATGATCTCGAGTAACTGTCATTATTAATAGTTTCAATTGGTGAATTGATATACATCCCTGGAAAGAAATTGAGTCATCAAAGCCAAATGCTAATGTACAAAATTCCCATGTCCACATCTGGATATGGTTTTGCTTCTTGGCCCAGATTAAATGCGTACTATTAATATTTCTCACTGTCAATGTTACAAGGTAGAAATACAAATTTGTGAAATTGGGAGAAAAATACAATTGATTGGTCCATACCTGTGTTTTTACCTGAGCGATTATTAATAAAGAAAAATAAATTACATTCAAAATCATGCTAAGGATACAGTATGGACCATTCCAGAATTGGAGGACATTTTGGCTTCAAAATCCCTGAAAAATAAACCTTCACTTTTCTGATTTTCTGTTACATATTCTTGAATAATAGGTAACACGCTTATCAAAGGCTTGATAACTCATCTTAGTTCAATGGTACAATTGTATTACTTTATTTACTGTAATCACAGTAACAAATAAATGTACTGGTAGATCAACTTACAAAGAGTAATATTGTTAGTTTGTTTTTCAATCTATCACAGAAAATATTTAAAGTTTTAAATTTGCCTGGAAAAAAAAGAAAATAAATGAGAGCAGAGCGCCACTACTACCTACTATGCTGCATGTGCAATTACACTTTGGTCTTAAACAAGAAAAAAAAACATGGTCCAAAGGTCCTAGTCATCCACCCTTGTATCATATCTATACTCTGACATTCAGACATTTCATTTACGAGCATTCGTTTGCTGGAAGATTTGCCACATCCAACATGTAAACGCACTGACATATCTTGGAAATGAGTCATTCTGCTCATGATGGAGTCAGTCCACACATCTATGCTGGCTCCGCCCACGATTTGTTTGCATTTCCGCTGGCACGGCTTCATATCCCAGGATGCATTGTGTTGTGTCGTCTCTGTCTTATCAAATTAATTTTTTTTCTTGTCATTTCTTTTTTTTTGACTACCCTATTAATGTTGTGTTTTGGATAAAACTTGAGAATTGTATACTGTGCAAAAAACGCGTTAGATGGGGAAAAATATCACTCTCGTCGAACCAAAAGATTAAAAAAAACTAATTTGCATATTTTGTTGGGGAAAGTTTCACATTCATAAGTGTAAATTTGTCGACTCCACTCCATTATTTAACTTATTTTGGATTTAAATGGACACCTATTCAGGGCTTTTGAGATAACAAATATATTCAGAAATATTTAAAGAACAAATGTTTTGGATATTCTTGTTTGCAATGTGAATTATTTTTATTGTTACTTTCTTTTGTTTGTTTGGCATGATTTATCTTTCGATTTACATATTGCTACAAAGTGTATGAAAGATGTTAAGTGTATTGACTGCGATTGAAAAAAATAATACTTTGTATTTTCTTATTTTTCTGAATTCTGAACATCGCCCATTACCAAGAAAATGAGCACAAATAAATTACTACGAGTACAGTACTATACATTAACTATAATGTATATGAGTAATTATAAATACTACCACGAGTACTAATAAAACCAATTATGATTCTTCTTCTCCTTTCGGCTTGTCCCTTTTCAGGGGTTGCCACAGCGAGTCATTAATTTCCATCTTTCCCTGTTCTCTGCATCCTCTACTCTGACTCCAACTACCTGCATGTCTTCCCTCACGGCATCCATGAATCTCCTCTTTGGCCTTCCTCTCTGTCTCCTACCTGGTAGCTCCATCTCTAACATTTTCCTACCAATGTATCCCCTGTCCCTCCTCTGTACATGTCCAAACCATCTCAGTCTGGCCTCTC